TGTAGGTTGAGACACGGCAGCCTGTGAAACTGACGTTGCAGTGACAAGCTTTTGTGGTTTCGAGTTTCGTGTCTCACACGAAACATCCCAGGATTCACTGAAACAAGCAAATTATTGGCCGTTATGAAAGAGCCGTAGGAAAAGCATTTCTGCATAGCTTAGTTGAATGTCACCCCGTGGGAATATGGAACTAGAATTATTGGATCGTCCAATTTCCTAAAAGAATGTGAAATCTGGGTTTTCATGTGAAATCCTGTGATGTTTAAGCATAGGCGACTAATTCTAAGTTATAAAAACACGGCGTGGTCCAAACAAAACACATCTGTGGGCCAGATGAGGCCCTCGGGATGCCAGCTTGAGGTCTGTGCTTTAGATTTTTCTTCCTCTTTGCCCTCCAGGGCTCGTTTGTGCGCCTTTCCTATGATCTTCCCGGTGTGAGGAGGTCAGCCCTCATCACTGCCGATTTTAACTGACTGTTGCCGGACCAGTTTTCCGCCATACTGTAGGTACTTGAAGATAGTAATTGCAGCTTCGGTTTGGTTTCTTCAATCCAGGGTCTAGAGTATCACGTCTTGTGCCTAGTAACGTTTAACATGAATGTGTGTTGGAGAAATACATGGATGAGTGGACAGACTGTGCTGCCAGCAGACCAGACAGGACAAGTCTGACTCTCGGTTCCCCAGTGACCCGCTGGCTCGCCCTCATCCCTCTGCGCCCTCATTAGGTAATCTGACAGCTGTTCTCCATGACTTTTTAAACAGGTGCTGTCTTCTGCCACAGTGTGAGTGCTCGCCGCTAGATGGCTCCCCTTGCTTAGCTTCAGACATTCTGAAGTCCTGAGGTCACACTGAGGCTTGCTGAAAGAAACCACGTCTTAATCTTCACCGCATTTCCTCCAGATGTCTGTCCTCCTGGGGCAGAGCACACAAGCAAAGCCACAAGGCTAGAGGAAGGTGCCTGCAGGTGTGTCAGGCCTGGTTTGTTCAAGGAGAGTTTTGGGAGAGTCTCTTTTCTTCCCTCTGTTCGTCTCTAACCCAGCAAACTTGTTTATTTTACTTTGCTGTGCCCTGTTGGGGATGGGAGGTTGGGTGGAGGATGTGTCTTACTGAGAAGGGCCCTGGGGCCTCCGGAGTGTTCGTGCTTAAAGTAGGTATCTTGTGAGCTGTAGCAGGATGAAGTTGTCCCCAGGGCAGTTTAAACCTTGTGTGAATTGCTGTCCACAGTGAGGTCACCAGGACTGTGTGCCAACACCTGGGGGTGTGCTTTTGCGTGACCTCTGGAGGATATTCTGAGCTTGGAGAGACTGTCTGTTCAGTGCTGTGTGGTTTCCAATTTAAAGACAGACAGGGGGTCTGAGTAGGTGGCCCAGTTGACAAAGTGCTTGTGGTATAGCGTTGAGGATCCGAGTTCGGATCCCCAATCAGTGCTCTCTGTAATCCCAGTCAGTGCTCAGTGGGCAGACACAGAAGGATTCCCAGAACCCAGGGGCTACCTAGTGATCTATCTAGGCTCAAGGAGAGACCTGATAGAAGCAAACAAGCAAGATAGAGAGCAAATGAGGAATGTGGATGGGGGGCCCAGGCTATGTGGGGACCAGGGCAGCCTGGTCATACATACATGAGGTCCAGGGCAGCCTGGTCATACATACATGGGGCCCAGGGCAGTCTGGCCATACATACATGGGGCCCAGAGCAGCCTGGCCATACATACATGGGGCCCAGGGCAGTCTGGCCATACATACATGGGGCCCAGGGCAGTCTGGCCATACATACATGGGGCTGCACCAAGTTCCAGGAAAAGCCATAAGCTGGCACCTCCCAGGAACAGACCTTCCAAAGGAAATTCCTAACATTCCAGCCATTGTAGATAGGATCACCTGCCAGCACACACACATTGCTTTTTACCAGGGTACCCCTCAACAAATGTCAGCCAATCAGGGATCCTAAACCTTCGAAATCCATCACCCCCACCTTCACTACTCTAAAAACCCAACCCCAACTGAGCTGGAGGCTCTTTAATTACTCCACGTGGGACACACAGAGTCCGAGTTTGCAAACTTGTGTAAGAATAAAAGCTGTTTGCTTTTATATACAGAACATGGTCTTCTAATTGGTTTTGGGGGAACATTGTGATCTGGGTATAACAAGGAGGTCACCCAACATTCATCTCTGACCTTCACATACATGCATACATGTGTATACATACGTGCAAATCACACACACACACAGAGACAGAACGAGGGAGGAAATGATTCATTTGCTCTGCGGTTCCCAGCTCCCTTCCCAGCACTATCTTCAGCACGTGAACACAAACACGGCAATCTGAATGGAGCCATAGATGGACATCTCACCTAGCTCTTTTGAGTTTCCCCGGGAACCCGGATTTGTTGTCTGAAATAGTAAACGGATTCTTTCAGCTATGCAGGGCTCTACAGCATCCCACAGAAGGCTCAGAGTCACAACCCACCCCCTCCTCAGCACCGGTGCTTACCTCTGCCTTTGCTGTCCAGCATCGGCCAGACATTTATTCTTGTGTTCCTCCATTGTCTTTGGGAAACAGCCACTTGCAAGTTAAGAGAGTAGACTTTAAGGTCAGGCGGTGATGGCTTCCTGGTTTATCATTTACTCAACCGCTCTGAGCCTCAATGTCCTCATCTATAAAATGGGAGCAACAGTGGGAACTATTGAGCATGGAAGTTGCTCAGAACAATATTCAGTAAGTTCTCAGTAAGCCACGCTGGTGAGGTGCATGGCACTTGACTCCTCTGTAAGTTGCTCTTCGGGGTCAGCTCGCACTGGTGTGCTTGTCTCTGGTATGGCGGAGCTTCCTTCCCATAGTTTCCTAATCTTGTCCTCTAGGTATAAAAGCTTTTATTTTATGATCCTCTTGCCCCCACCTCCCAAATGCTGGGCTCATAAGCAGGTGTCATCACAGAAGTCCTGGATATCCTTGGACTTGGGTTTGATAGCAGTCCCGTTGTGTGATACCCTGTCCCTCAAAAAGTGTGCTCCATAAGTCACTCTGCTCAAGGCTGAAGGCAGCGGTTCTCACCCTTCCTAGTGCGGCAGCCCTTTAACACAGTTCCCTATGTTGTGGTGACCCCCAACCATGAAATTATTTAGTTGCTACGTCATAACTGTAATTTTGCCTCCTCCAGCACCGCACACACACATATATTTACATGCATGTAGGAAAACACTCATCCACATAAAATCAAAATAAATAATTCGTTAAAACCTACACATGAGGATAATATATATGACAACGTTAGAAAGCTGTGTCAGTTTATCTAGTTATTTACTTTGGGGACAGGATCTCAGGTATCCTAGGCAGGTATCAGATTCACTACAGGAGTGTAGGTGACCTTGAACTCCTGGTCCTCCTGAGTGCTGAGATCACTGGGTGTCTCACCACACCTTACTTAGCCCCAATCTTTTATGGGAGACTAAGCAAAAGCAATTCAGCTGACAAAACAAATCAGCAGATGAAGTCAGTGGGGTTCAAAACTCTTCCTTATCTCAGTCTTGCTTATGAGTCTCCTGAATTTGTGGAATTCAAACCTATGAGGTGTAGGACACGTGAATGCATGTTTACCTTGCTTTTTGAACACAGGTGAACACTTCTGCTCAGGTCGGGTGTGTTACTTTAGAGCTAATGAAGCATTTTAATCAAATTAGAGGGCACAGGTCCTCAGCTCTGCCTCCGTAGGTTAGCCCAGGTCTAGACTCACAATGGCAAGACCCAGGGCAGTCACGGGACCAATCCTACACCACTTCCTTCTGTTCTGTCCTTTGTGACATCTATGGTATGCCCCACAGCCTGACCAGGAAGTCCAGAGGAATCCAGCTTCACGTGTTAACTGGCTTTTATGAGGAAACCAGAAGGAAGAAATAAGTGGTTTATTAGTGAGTCATCAGTTTAAACAAATGCACCTTATTTCTGAAATGACCTGAATGTTAGACACAGCCTGACCCATTTTATTAGATTTGGAATTTATAAAACATCGAGTGTGTTTAGTGGTTCAGATTTGTAACCTCCTGTTTCCAAACCAATAAAGTCATGAGATCCCCTAAAGTTCATTGCTTGTCTCACTTTCTAGAACCCTCTAATGGGCCTGTGGTCTAATAAGAAGTGGTGGCGCTCCCACTGGTGATGAGAGTCACGCGCTTGTCCCTAAGAAGTGGTTAGAATCAACAGAGCGAAGGAGAGTGAGGCACCTTCTCTCTGAGCTTCTAGCCTAGTCATCTTCAGCTTGTCAACTGACCATTCTGTTAGTCCTCCATGGTGTCCCCTCCCCTCTGCCCCTAGTGTTCAACTTCAAGCCACTGTCCTGCCCAAATAACCCGTACGCTGTCAGCCCCATTTTAATGATTTCTGTATGTACATTTTTATTTTAGAGCATCTTCATATTTAACCCTGGCCGGCTTGGAACTCACTATGAAGCTAGCCACAAAGGCATGCAATCCCTCTGCCTCAGCCTCCTGGGTGCTGAGACAACAGTGTGCCTCTCCACACTTGGCTTGTCCCGCCTTAGGAGCATCTTGCCATGAAGATGCCAGTAAAGTGGGTGCTGCTGCAAGCCATTTTAATCTAGACAATAGCAAAAAAAAAAATGTCATCTATAATCCCAGACTGCTGGGTATTGGACAAGTGACAAGTTCTCAGCCATTTGTACTGAGTGGAAATTTGGTGCCATCCACAACTGGTTGGTTTGGAAACAGGCAGAACTCTGCAGGAAGAGCACAAGAAGAGATTGAAATGACCTCAATTCATTGAAAACTTTTCTTTCCCCAAGACTGGAGGAGGGAGAAGGGAACAATGCATGGTGCCCTCAAATCACGGGGGTTTTCATTCTCCATTACTTGAACCACAGAGCAATTCATGAGCCAGGATGCTCATCGATGCATGGCAACCGACCCACAACAGACCCACCACAGTTTTTAAAGTGCTTAGAGCTTTAGATAGTAAACCAATCATTAACAAATGTCACTCACCTTCAGCATGTTCCTGCCATCTTGTCTTGCCAGTGCTCGGTACATGCTTTTCCACAAGAAGGTCTGGGAAGGTCTGGGGGTCCTTCATCCAGGAGAGCAGTATGGTGACTCTTTAGCCTTGAGTGAGAAGGTTGGAAGAGGGAACACTTTACCTACCACAGAGCTCACCCGCTTCCCCTCCGTGGACTTCTACAGGGAGGCCTGCATTCCTTCAACCCTGTGGGGTGTGACCCTGAGTGTCCAGAACTGGACAGGAGCGCCCGAGGGAGGGAGTGGCATTTTGTAGGGTACTGATCTGCACACCCAAGAGCATATTTGTCCCCTTTGTAGCTAATGATCTCAGCCTCTCGTCTCTGGTTACTGGCAGAAGCAGTAAGTCTTTGATCTCTGAGCTGTTCGTTTTGCCAGCTCGGAGCCACCAGAGGCTCCAAGAGGAGGGAGAGGGAGTGGAAAGTGTCTTTGCTTTCCTTCTGCAGGGGATGTGCCCTGGGGTTTGCTGGCAGAGGCAGTAACCTGGCCGGAGCTGCTGAGACATCAGTGGACCTGCGACTGCCGGGACTGCCCTGGTCCCATCAGCGCTCGCTGCCATCCGCCAGCAGAGCCAGTCTTTGGGAGCTCTGGAGAAAGGCTCAGCCACGCTTTGAGACAGGAGGCTCAGGTAAGCTAATCGCTCTGTTTGACTCTTTGGGGCTTGAGCTCTGTTAGTTAAGCTGTGTCTTACTCTGTGAGGAATATTCCGATTTCAACATCTCATTTCCTGAAAAGATAAACAAGGAAGAGTGTTTTTGAAGCAATTATCAGAAACAATAGAGCCCTGTCCCTTCCTCACTCTATAATTTGAGTTAGTTTTTCTGTCTTAAATGTGGTTTTCCAGCTGAAAGCCAAGAGTTCTACTCAGGGCAGGGCAGGCTCACCCCCGTCTGCCTGGAAAGTTCAGCTGACTAACGTATGTCAGCTTCATACAGGGAACCTGCTAAAAGTGTCGTTTGTTTGGCTGTATCTAACTAGCAACGGGGCAGACACTCTTAAAATTCAATCATGCTTGAGACGATGAAGTTGGATTTTATTTATTGGGTTTGTTTGTTCAAGACAGGATCTCATGTAGTCCTGGCTGGCCCCAAGCTCACTATGTAGCCCAGGCTGGTTTTGAACTCCTTATCCTCCTGCCTCCTTCCAAGTACTGGGATCAAAAGTGTGTGCCGCTACCATAACTGACTGAAACAATTAGTTTATTTCCACTGTAGGGTGAATCTATTGAAACCTTGTCCACACCAGTATAAACCTGAAAGCTATCACCCAGTTGAACTCCCTGAGTGACCTTCAGAAAAGCAACCAACCTTTAAATTTGTTTTCCCTTGTTCCTCAAGTAAATATAAATTTGACATACCACACTTTACCCCACAGATCTTAAAAAAATCTTGATTTTTATTTTCCATAAAAATTTCACTTATAGCTCAGCATGGTCTCACAAACCTGTAACCCCAGTCCCTGGGAGTCAGCGGCAGAAAGTTCAGAAGTTCAAGGTCGTTCGTAGCTTTACAGAGAGTGTAAAGCCAGCCTGAGTCACCTCTCCGAATCATAGGAAGGGATCCACTTACATGCACATGATACCTTGTATCTTCACTCAGGGCAGTGACAAAAAGGTAGACCGGTTCTGAAGGAAGAATGCACCCTAGGTGCAGGGCTGGGCACATGGCTCAGCAGATAAACCGGGTGGCTCAGATGTATGGTGTGAGCTGGATTTCTGCAGATCAAACAAAGGTAGGAGAAAACCAAAGTTACAAAGTTGACCTCTGACCTCCACACATTCGCATGGCACTCACATGCCCTCTTGCATCATACATTCTTGCTCATGTGTGCACATACACACATGCACGCATGTACACGCACAAAAACAACAACAACAATAATAACAGTAATAATGAACAGAAGGTCAGGTGGGAGGGGATGTGGAGAAGGAGCAGCCTTGTCTTTTCATGGCAATTTTCACTAAAATAAACTTGACACTCTCTCTCTCTCTCTCTCTCTCTCTCTCTCTCTCTCTCTCACACACACACACACACACACACACACACACTCATGCGCTAGAGATTATAAAAAACAGCAAAAATACAAAAAAGGTATATTCTACAATCAGTCATGATACTAACACAAGTCTTTTGTTACATTCTTTCTAATTTCATTATTAAAAACTATTCACCCAACCAGAATTGAAATTAAAATCCATCTCTCTGATAAGGATGGCTGGGCAAGTGATGAAGCCTTGAGTAAGTTGTTTGGCTCTTCTTGTAAGAAGCTGGAGGCTTGTTTTATAATACAGTACGGATGTGGATAAAAATGGAAGCTGGGAAGATGTGTGCTGAACCTGTAGATTCCAGCTATGAAGGCTCACATGGCTCACAAGTTGATGTGGCATTTTGCTGGAAGCCATACATGTCTTACTTCTTCCAAAAGTCAAAAGATATCATAACAGCGTCAGCATCACCATTCTAGAACTTTTTTCTTTCTAGGTTGAAGAATGGTGTGTGTGTGTGTGTGTGTGTGTGTGTGTGTGTGTGTGTGTGCATGTGTGCATATTATTATCTGTTTTCTGCTGCCCTTTCCACCTCAGTTCAAAGACTAAAAATACACTCCCAGACAAGAGAAATAAGTGCACACATTCATTTAAACCAGGACATGAGCAAATGGTTTTTATTTACTTACTTACTTATTGCTTATTTTTGACACAGAGTCTGTCTATGCAGCCCAAGCTAGTCTTACAATCAATATCCTCCTTGCCTCTTCCTCCTGAATGTTGAAATTATGTGGGTGGTACTGTGCCTGCCAAGGAGTGAGTTCAGCCTTTTGGTTCAGAGCAAGAAGAAGTAGAATGATCATAAGGGCACAGAATACCTGGGGTCAAGGCAGTGGAAGGTATGTGTGTCACGAGGTAAGGAGTTCAGAAAGTAGAGGGGTGGCACCTGCAGGACAAATGTCACCCAATTCACACTTCCGCTTAAGGTCACACCCAGTGTGTTAGCAGCGTTCAAAATAGCTTACATAGTTGTCTTCTTAACTTCCTTTCACAGGGCCTTACCTAGGGCTGCAAAGGGAAGACCGTGTCCCAAATGTCTTTGGATTTCGCCTGAACTGTCACACTAGAGAAAGAATCATCCCATGATGTCAGGGTGGCCCAGTTCTCTATTGGGTAGATGTATCATCTTTATGGCTGTGAAATTTATCTTGGGACACTGCAGGTTAGAGTGAAGGGTTCACACTATTGTGGCCTCTTGGCCACGCCCAGCCTTACAGAGACTCCGGACTAGCACATTCCCAGTCATACCCTCCCTGGCCAGTCACATAATATGCCCGAGGCGCCTGTTACTTATTTCGTTATTTTATCTTATGTGCATGCCCAGCCCATGGTGGGTGGTTCTGAGTTCCTCAAGAAGGCGGGGTTGGTAAGTCAGGGGGCTTCAAGCCAGTAAGCAGCTCCCTTCCATGGCCTCTGCATTAGTTCCTGCCTCCAGGATCCTGCACTGTTTGAGTTCCTGTCCTGACTTCCTTCAGTGATGAACAGCAATGCTGAAGTGTAAAACAAGCAAACCCTTTCTGGCTGGGCAGTGGAAGTGAGTGTTTTTTAATCCCAGCACTCCAGAGGCAGAGGCAGAGGCAGAGGCAGGCGAATCTCTGTAAATTTGAGGCCATCCTGGTCTACAAGGGCTAGTTGCCAACAGGCTCCAAAGCTACAGAGAAACTCTGTCTTGAAAAAAAACAAACCGACCCTTGCTTTTTGGTCATGGTGTTTGGTCGCAGCAATAGAAGCTCTAACTAAGACAAGCGGCATCTCTACCGACATTCAAAGCAGTGAACCTTCTGGAACAGAGCCTTCCCCCTAACCTGGAAAAGTCCTGGCTGGCCTGGGATTTGTATATGTGAGAAAATGCACTATAGGAGCCCTTAGGGAAGGTCGTGAGGTTGCTCTTGGTTCTGCACACAGCATGGAGTCCGGAAGGCTTCTGGGTGTAGCTGCAGACTGTTAGCATCTTCAGGCTCGCTGGAGCACCCAGCAGTGGTTATTTCTGGAATGACCACTTGGAGGACCTGGCTGAAAAACTTGGTTTTGCTCTGAAGAAAATCATGACGCAGACACTCTATATTTGTACCACGCAAGAGGTAGGGTAAGAGGTCAGAGGTCACCTCGTTTTACCCTTATTTTAAATCGATCTCTCTAACTGGGTTGTGTTGACATAGTGGCCCACACCAATAATCCCAGCAGAGATAGGGGGACTGTGAATTAGAGACCTCGTGTCAAAGTAAAGAAAGTATCTCAGTCGGGAGGAATTTGCAGCAGCTTAATTCTGTTCACAGGCAAAGACCCAGTGCCATACTCTCTCTAGCTCCTTCCCAGAAGGCCCAGCTTTCTGTCTTTGTCCTTGTGAACCAAAGTCTCTTCCCACTCAAGGTACTGAAATCACTCACAGTTCCTAGGATGATTACTGAGAAACATGTATGCTTCCTTTTCCCAAACAAGGGGACTCGTTTGTAATGTATACAGATGGGGATCGCAATTCAGTCTTGAATTATTAAAATCACGCTCCAAGAAATAAAACCTGACTGACTCATCGACTGAAAAAGATAATTTAAGGAAAGAGTGACGCAGTGGAGTAGAATTCAGGTCTATCCTCTTTATTTTCCATGGATGCAAATCAAAATAATTCTTTGTAATTTGCGAGGCTACCAAAAAAATTAATATATATAGAAGCATTTTGCAAATTAGAGCTTCTCTTGGTGCATGCGTGTGTGTGTGAGTGTGTGCGTGCATGCGTGTTTGTGTGTGAGAGTATAGGTGTGCATATATCGGCCTTAACACAGGTGTGAGAGTTGAGAACAACCTCAGTTGCTGGTCCTGCCCCTCTGTTCTGTTTGAGACAGGGCCCCTTGTTGTCTGCTAGCTGTGCTGTGAGCAGCCTGGAGCTCCTCCTGCCTTTGGTCTATCTCCCCATAGAGATCCCAGGATCACAGACCCTGTGCTAGGCATTCAGTTTTTATCTAGGGGTGTGGGGATTTGAACTCCAGTCCTCATACTTGTGCAGCAAGTACTTTGCCCCCTGAGACTTCTCCCCAGTCCAACGACAGAGTTCCATTATGCTGAGTTTTCTTTAAAGCAAAGAGTTAGAAGAGGCCGTTTGTTGGTTCCTGGCTGCTTAGCCCTGAAATAATCACACAAAACTTTATTATTTAAATCACTGCTTGGCCCATTAGCTCTAGCTTCTTATTGGCTAAGTCTTATATCTTAATTTAACTCATTTTTAGTAATCTGTGTATCAGCACTAAGCTGTGGCTTACCAGGCAAAGTTCCAGAGTCCGTGTCTGGTGGGGCTCCATGGCTTCTCTCCTACTCCGCTTCCTTTCTTTCAGCATTCAGTTTAGTTTTCCCGCCTACCTCTATTCCCTGTGCATGCCCAAGACAATTTCTTTATTCACCAGTGATATTCACAGCATACAGCAAAGTGTGAGACGCCCCCCCTTGTCCAAGCAAGGTCCAGGGAACCAAGGCTCTGATATGCAAAACACAAGCCCCAGGCGCTCTATCCTGCACGGCAGCATCAAAGGATCTGTATACCTCCAAGCTGTAGGAGGTCAGCACCATTTAACAATGGCAATGTTCTGACGGCTCCTTACAGCAAAGCAGTATGGAGGAGGCTCAGATTCTCCAGGGTTTGCCTATGACATTGGTTTAGCCACCAATGTCACATGATGGAAATGAGACCTAGGCTGAGACTTGTGTGGAAGAACAAACTTGGTTACAAGATTATTAATCTCCCTGTATGTGCTTGGGAGAACTCACACTGTACAAATCACTAGAGGAAAGTCTTCAGGCACAAGTGACTGACAGAGCTCCAAGTTAGCTACCAGGCTTGCAGACAAACCTTTTACGGTTTTACATAACTGAACTGGACGTGTTTTCTCTGGGACATAAAACCTAGTAGGAGTCCAGGTGAAACTCTGAGTGGTGAGCTAAGAACAAAGAAGCATCCTCAATGACGCTCTTGTAAGACAAAGCACAGACAGGTGGCTAGAACAGCCACCCTTGCTGGGAAGGGACAGCTGGTGTATTGAGTGAAACTGCCAGCAACAGGAGAAATGCTTTCTAGCTGAAGTCTAATGCAGGGCAAAGAACATGCATAAAACTAGCTTTGTACCAGCTTAGTTAGGAACAGAAAGGACTCAGCCTTAGTAGACCCGCACACTGGCCTCCGAAAATGCAGCCGTTCAGTCCAACACAGCGAAGCATGATCAGCAAGGGTCCCGGAATGCAGAGACTTTCTATCCCCGCCTCCCAGGTGTTTGCAAAAGTGAGTTTCACCATAACTTCTTGGGGTTTTACTTTTTCTCTGTCCCCCCGCCCTGTGTATGTTGCATGTATGTGCATATGGGTTTTGTGGGTACACATGCCCTGTGCACATGTATGGAGGCCGAAAGTTGACTTCCAATATTTTCCTCTACTGATTTGCATCTTAAGGCTTTTTTAAAAATAGGTATCTCACTACTAGAGCTCAGTGATTGGCTAGATTGGCCAATGAACTCCAGGGACCCTCCTGTCTCTGCCCATCGTCCAGCGGTTATGAACACCTGTAGCCTTGCCTGAATTTTAGTATAGGGGCTAGCAATCCTCAGTCGGGTCTCTACACTAACAAACACAGCAAGCACTTCACCCACTGAGACATCTTCTCAGCCTCCCAGTATCTCTG